TGGTGACTTTGGTCCATTTAAGAGTGACGCCATCCTAGATTCTCTTCGTTCTCAGCAGTTTCTCTTGCCAGGGAGCCTCGCCCACCGTCTCCTGGCTCTTCTCTCCTTTCCCTTCCCTTCCCCGCCCTGCTCCCTCTGGGCTGGAGCTCCAGGGCGGGGTGCGGACGCAGGGAAGGAGTGGTGCCCAGGCCCCCGAAGGGCAACCGGCACCTGCGACCCTCCCACAAGCTCGTCAGGGCACACGTATGCCACAGCAATGCCCAAAGACGAGGCATTAAACGTCACCAGCCTCCAACGGGCTTTCTTTGACCAACATAGTGTCACCTGAAAATTCACCGGACGTGACAAAATTTTCCAGTTGTCTTTTTTTTTTTTTCCAAGATTTATCTATTTATTTGAGAGAGAGGGAGAAGCAGACTCCTTGCTGAACAGGGAGCCCGACGCGGGGCTCAATCCCAGGACCCCAGGATCATGACCTGAGCCGAAGGCAGATGCTTAACTGACTGAGCCACCCAGGCGCCCCTTCAGCTGTCTTTAAAGCAGCAGGATTTCAGGCAACTGTGGATCCAAACGCCTATAACCGGGGCTGCGATCCTGGGGGCACGAAGCTGTCCGGCCCAACAGCAGGTGTTCAGGCAGGTTGGTTGGGCATGTTCTGATCAATTGGGCATCTGATGGCATGGGTTCGCGCCCTCCTACAAGAGTTATTCGGTATTCTACACACCACCCCCATCCCCAACAATTGCCTGAGGCGAAGCAGTCCAAGCTCACAGCTACTGAGGGGCAGAGTCTGGATTAGAACCCGGTGCTGTCTGACTCACTTCTCTACAGCTCCCCCTACTGGTTAACTCCTGAAGAAGCCACTCGAGCCGCTTCCTCCCTTCAACTTCGGGGGTTAAGAGAGCATGCCCTGTCCCTAGGCCAGGTTTGGAGACGCCAGGGATTCCTCCGGCCTTTCAACGGCCTCAACAGGAGAATGAGATAGTCCAGGCATTGCCCTTCTCTTACTAATGCAGATACTGAGGCCCAGAGTAGGGCAATGACGTACCCATGGTCACACTGAAAATGGGAGACAGGCTGGAGATGGAAACTGAGGGCCCTACGCTCTATGCTGGGCTCTGACTGAGACCCAGACTTGATTATTCTGTCGTGCTGCTGGAGGCTGGGATCCCTGAGTCTTCCCTACACCCCCGCCCCCGCCAACTTGAATCTACACCCTCTCTCTGGCTGGAATCTGAGGGCTCAGTCCTGGCCCTTAAGGCTCCAGCCCTGCCCCCTAAAGTGTCCCCCAAAGACCTCCACTCATTCACTCGCTCATTCGACAAGGGCTCCAATGTGCCCTCCCTCCATGGGCGCTCGCAGAGTTGTCAGTGGGGTCCAGACCAAGTCAAACCACAGCCTCTTTGTGGTGGGGCTGGGACTGAGGGGCTGAGGGGGGTCCAGAGAAAGCCCCTGGACCAACATGGGGTGGGGCACAGAAAAAAGGCAGGCTGAAAGAGGGGACATTTATCTGGACCTTGAGGTTGTTCAGTAAGAAGCTTTCAGGCAGCAAAGATGGAAGGGATATTCCAGGCATGAAGGAACAGCATGTGGAAAGGCACCAGGGTGCACTGAATTGTAACTTAAAAATAGTTACTTTAGGGGCGCCTGAGTGGCTCAGTCAGCTAAGCGGCTGCCTTCGGCTCAGGTCATGATCCCAGGGTCCTGGGATGGAGTCCCACATCGGGCTCCTTGCTCGGCGGGGAGCCTGCTTCTCCCTCTCCCGCTCCCCCTACTTGTGCTGTTAACTCTCGTGCTCTCTGACAAATAAATAAATAAAATCTTAAAAAACAAAAAACCCAGACTTGGGTTTGAGTAGTGGGAACTTGGGTGCATGACAGAGATGGTGACAGGTAGTGGGGGGGGGGGCGTCTAGCCTGCAGGGAGGAGCTCCATGTGGATGGGGCCCAACCGCTGAAGATCCTGAGGGTGGGACCAGATGGACGGGGTGGGGCACCTAAATCAGATCCAGCTGCCTTAGTCATGAGTGAGTTCCCCGTGTTGAGAGAAAAGCAAGCAGAGCTGGATACCCCACCGACAACCAGGTGAGGCAATCTTCCCGGGAGGAAGATGGGGAGGGGCTGGGGAGAGGAGTTCAGAGAAGGCTCCACAGAGGTGGGCTTTGAAGGCTGAATAGGAGTTCTCTGGGTGGGCAGGGAGGAGCTGATGTGCTGGGCAGAGGGAAGAGCATGAAAAGGCATGAGTATTCCAAGAACTGCTTTTAATAAGAAGACTTAAAAATGTATCAAGCTGCAGACTCAGTATCTGACCTACATTATCACATCTAATCCCGATGACGACACCCTGGGTGTAACCGGGAAACAGGCTCTGAGAGGTTACGTAGCTTTCTCCAAGTCACACAGGATTACATCACAGGCAGTCTGACTTCAAGCTGTAGGGGTGAGAGGTAGGAGCTAGGGCTGCAGAGCTTAGCAGGGTCCTGGATGAAAAGTGGGGCACCAGATAGGAAAGAGAGGAAGGCTACACGTCGGGGTCCCCAGAGCGGAGCTGTGAGGCTTGTTCTCCTGAGGTGTGGGACCCAGCAAGAAGGGCCCAGCCTCGTGGCCTTGGCAGGCAAGCATCTTCCTAGACACCTGGCACTAGTGCCAGGGGGTCCTCATCTCCCGAGAGTGGGTGTTCACGGGCACCAGCTGCTTTGGCAGGTGGGTGCGGGGGCCCAGGAGGGTGGTGGAGAGGGGCTCCTGCAGGGAGGCCCCCAGACTCACCACCTGCTGCCCCCTATAACTGGCCGCCGTCACTTCAGAGTGACCCTGGGCTCAGACCGACTGGTGCCGGACACTTGCGAGAGCATGTCCTGTGTGGCGGAGCCGCTCCCGGCCCCAACGCTTCCTCCCGCGGCAGCTCTGCTGAGCCCAAGGGTTTGACGCTGATTTCAGTAGGATGGGAGCAGAAGGCCGGGACGGGTGTGGGCAGCAGGGGGCGCTGGACCAGGCGAGGCAGGCACCTGCGGAAGCAGTAATCCCCACAGATCCTGAGCCCCAGGGAACAGCCTGGCTCTGGTCCCCTCCCCTGGCACTCTCCTGGTCTCCTCCCCAGGCTTAAAGCTTCCCTGGGAGGACTGTGAGGATGCAGGGCAGGATGGAGCCCTAGTAGAGGGGTGTGGGGAGGGGGTGGGGAGGGGGGGTGTCGGGGACGGCGTCCTCCCACCCTACCCGGGGCCTCCTATTCCATATCACCCAGCCAGACATCGAATGTGCACACTTGGTTAGTGGGCCGGGCGGGGTGCAGAGGGAGAGGGAGAAGCAGACTCCCCTCTGAGCAGGAAGCCCGATGCGGGGCTCGATCCCAGGACCCCAAGATCATGACCTGAGCGGAAGGCAGATGCTTACCCGACTGGGCCACCCAGGCACCCCTGACATAGCCAGGTTTTAAACTACTGGAAGCCCCTGGTTATTTGATAATCACAAGCATTTTGTTGACAACTGACTTTTGGGTACTACTGAGTCTCAAAAGCCACAAGGAGGAAAGAGTATGGTAAAATTTGTGGGAGAAAGCATTTTAACTGGTACGAGGGTGTGAGGGGTGAAGGCAGGGAGCATGACCAAGTCCCTGGAGGGGCAGACAACTCCCACCCGAGCTCTGAGCTGTGTGTGTTGTCGAACTGGGGCCCCCACCCATCTGGCCTCCAGATGTGTGAACCAGAGGTCTGAACCCTGGCTGCCCACAGCCCCCCCTCCCCGATCCAGTTATCTCTGCTCACCTTTCCGGGAGTGGTCAGTGGGTCCGGGCTGCCTTTGACTCCTCCTTCCCTCTCCTGCACAGGTGTCTGAAGGGAGCCCCCCGGTCGGCTTCCAAGCTAGCAGCTAGCTGCTGCAGGGCGTCATGACCTGGGGTCCCCGTTGGGGGCCTGGCCTCTGGGAAGTCTACACACCTGTGCATCCCTTCATTTCCTGGATCAGAGAGAAGGTCTCTAATGCCACTGTTGAGGCCCTGCCAAGAAGCGCCCTTGGGCCTGGCCCGGGACCAGAGAGAGGAGGCACCGGGGCTCTTTAGCCTGTGAGGTCCTGGGTGTGAACCCTGATTCAGCTACTAACCTGCTGCTGTGACCGTAGCCCACCCACCTCCCCTCTCTGAATCGGCTTCCTCTTTGAGTAATGGCGAGGTATTCAATTATTCATTCATCCAACACTGTTACCAGGGCTTCCAGTGTGCCAGGCAACCAGAACACAAGATCAGCGTGGCCCCTGAGCTCCTGGAACAGGCCGGCTGTCTAGGGGAGGGGAGGCAAGCATCAGCCCGAGACATGACAGTAATAAATGTGCAAATACAACCCATGGTGAGTGCTAAGAGGAACAGGATCGACGTGTTAACACAAGCTATGACCTACTCGGGGCGGCCGGGGAGTAACTTCTTTGAACATTATCCTGGCAGAGCTGTGGATTCTGGCTCACTCCTTCCGACGGCTTGTGGGCCTGTTGCCCCCCTTCACATTAAAGAGCCGTGGCTTGGACTAAAGGTTTTTTGAGGTCCCTCCCAGATTTGTTTAATAAACTTTGGGGGGGGGGTGCATCCCCCTGACCTGACGCAGGCAGCTGCTGGGCCCCAGCTGGGGACTCTCCAGAACCCGGGCGGTCTGACTCGAGGCCTTCGCGCGCGAACCCCCGAATGGCGGTGGTGGATCACCTGCGCCCCGCGGGCCCCCCCTCCGCGCGCCCCCGCCGCCGTCCTCCGGGTAGCGCCACAGCGCCATCTCGTGGCGGAGGGCGTCTGCATCACTTGGCTTCCGGCCGGCCGGAGTCAGGGAGCGCCTCCGCGCTTCGGGGCGGGCGGGGCCGAGGCCGAGTGGACACACACTCCCCGCGGGTGTGACCGGATCGGGCGGCGCGGCTAGAGTCCACACAACAGGCCCACGCTCCGGCGTCCGAGTTCTCCGGAGAGGGTCAGGGCTGCGGAGCCCCGCCCTCCAAGGCCCCGCCCCCAGCCGCCGCCGCCGCCGCCGGCTGCGCCTGCGCACTGCCGCACACACGCGCTTGCCTTAGCGAAGGTCCCGTCCCAAGAAACGTGTCCCACGCGCCACGCCGTCGGTTTCCAGGGAAACCCGGCGCCTCTTAGCAGCCCCGCGCGGAGCCTGGGTCGTTCCCTGGCGCCCCCGGCCTAGCCATGGCGGCCGCGAGTCCCAGCGTCTTCCTACTCATGGTCAACGGGCAGGTGGAGAGCGCCCAGGTGAGCGGCCGTGGACCTCGCCCGCCCTGCCCTCAGTCTCCCCGGGGACCCATCCCGCGACCTCCGGGGCCGCTGCGTGGCCCCGGAGAGGCGCGTGGTTCCTCCGGGCCTCTGTCTCCCTCGGTTAGGCGGGGGAGGGGAACCAGCAGTTGAGAGGCTTGCCTGCGAATCCTCAGCCCCAGTGTGCGCGGGTGGAAACAGGCCTCGAGAGGTTGAGCTCGCGCCGAGGACACGCTCGGCCAAGCCCGTGAGCCCGGGTTCGGATTGTGTCCAGTGGGTTGAGTCAACGGGCAGGAGCCTAACGCGGGTGTAAGGGGAGGAGCCGAGACTCGACCGGGACTGAGGGCCTCGGTCCTCAAGTGCTCCGCCCTCTGAACCCTCCGATTCTTGAATTTGGGCTAGAACGGAGGTGATCTGGTGAATCTGATCCAACGATGGTGGTGGTGGAAAGATCCAGGGAGGGTCTGGCCAGTCTGACAGAAGCGGACGCTACTCTCCATCTCCTACACTTTATGAGAACCATTTGTCATTATTTATATATATACGTAGATATGTTCACCGTGAATTCGCTCTGTGCCAGACTTGGCGCCCAGCACTGATCATTCAGCCCTCACAACAACCCTGTGAAGTGGGTATTACTAGCATCCCCATTTTACAGATGGGAACACTTGCCCAAAGGGAGTGGCAAAGCAGAGATCGGAACCCAGGTCTGCCTGCCGCCAAAACTCTGCTGCCTTACCCTTCCAGGCTGTTGGAAGATGGTGTTTATTATATTATTGTGAGGATTCAGTGAGATGGTTTGGGTAAAGCTCTGGGTCTCTCTTGCCTTCCTGTTTCATCGGGATTATACCCCCATACTCCCATCCTGTCCACCTGCCCCTTGGCCTAGTGTCGACTGCCTTCCCCTCTCCTGTGCCATTAGGGCCCTCGGCTGGGCTGGATCACACCTCTCTGCATTGTCAGCACCCATGCCAGCCCCGCTGTGCCTCCCACTGAGTTCTGGTTTCCTCCCTTTCGCCAGGCCTTGAGCTCCAGCCCTGTGTAGGCTTCATGTCCTGAGAGCATCCTTTTATTTTGGCACCATTCCCTTGGACCTCCTCTGTGCCCACCCTTGTGCCAGGCACTGGGGACCCAAAAACGTCATCACACTTGTTCCCTGTACACAGTCAAATGGGGCTGACAGAAATGAACAAGCCGTCAAAACTTTGATGGAGGGAAGGACCAGCGGCTGACAGAGCCAGGATGGGGGTTGCCGGCGGCGGGGGGTGCTTAAAACATCCTGGAAGTTAGGGCGGGCTCCCTGGAAGGTAAGTGTTGAAGGACAAGTAGGAGTTGGCCAGATGGAGGAATGGGAAGGGCATGCCAGACAGAAGCCAGAGCCCGGGCAAAGGCTCAAGGGTGTAGCAGCCTGGGACTCTCCCTTGGACTCCCACATCTCGGGCCCCAGCCCCTCTGCTGCACCCCATGTCCTCCTTCCTGGCTGTTTCTTAGACCCCACCCCAGGTGCCTGGTGTTCAGAATTTCTGTCGGTTGCCCTTACCTAGCCAACGCGTGGGCCTCACCACGGGTCTCCGTGAACAGAAGCTGTGTGTGCTTCTTCCCACAGTTTCCAGAGTATGATGATCTCTACTGCAAGTACTGCTTTGTGTATGGCCAGGACTGGGCCCCCACGGCGGTAAGCTGGGCTCTCGGGCCTCCCTTACTCACAGCCTCCATGACTGATGGGGGTTCTGAAGGTGTCCACTGTACCCCTTCCCCTCCCAGTTCAGAACCCATGGAGGGGTAGACACTGAGTTCAGGGGGTTCCAAGCATGACTTTGTTCCTGGTAAAGCTGGAGTGGGGAATGCAGCCCCGATCAAAGCCGTGCTCGCTCACGTTCCCTGTCCAGGGAACTTGCACATGGCAGCAAAGAGGAGTGCGTGGGCAGCCTGGAAGTAGCCGGGCCCTCTGTCCCTCCCCTGGCCCGTGGGGAGGACTCTGGGGAGTCAGAAGGCAGAATAGAAGCTCTCCTTGCAAGGCTTGCCTCAGAGCGATCTGACTCCACCAGACAGCCAGACGAGAGTCCCAGTCTTCGTGGAGTGCACATCCCTGTGGGGCGAGACAGACAGTAAGCACTCATGTTCCAGTGTGTTCTAGTAAAAAGTGCCGAGGAGAAAGTAGAGTCAGGAAGGGAGGCGTGGAGGATAGAGAGAAACTGGAATCTAGGTAAGGGGGCCAGGGAAGGCCTCCCTGAGAAGGTAACTTTGGGTCCAGAGCTGAAGGAAGTGAGGGAAAGAGCCGAGTGGAAGTCTGTGGAAAGGGCTTTGCAGGCAGAAGGAAGAGAGGTGCGCGGGCCCTGAGGCGGGAGTGTGCCTGGCGCGCTTGGGGAGCAGGGAGGAGGCTGGTGTGGCCAGTGAAGAGCGTGAGCAGGGAGGAGCGTGGCTGCGGCTGAAGCTGGGGGCGTGGGGGGCAGTGTGGTGAAGATGAGGCAGGCCGCGGACGACACAGAGTAAGGACCCCAGCCTCACACAGGGGGACATGGGACCCCTCAGAGGGTCTGGAACAGAGACGGTGACCCACCTTGTATTTTCCATCGCTCCCTCTGGCTGCTGTGTCCAGAGTAGATGGGGGAGCAGGGGCCAAATAGGGAGACCGCAGACTGTTACCAGAAACGGAGGAGCAGAGACAGCACGGAGACAAGGCGCGGCATTGGGGCGCTGCAATTTCCAATGTATTTTGAAGGCGGAGGCAACGCGGTTTCCTCTTAGGACAGATGTGGGGCATGAGAGAGAGGAGTTAAGAATAACACCAGGCTTCTGAGCCCGGGCACTTGGGAGCAGAGCTGCCATTCGATGAGAAGACTGGGTAGAGCAGATCTGGGAGAACTTTCCAGAGCTCCGCCTGGCGTGGGTTGAGGTTGAGGTTCCTGCTAGATATCCGGGCGGAGGTGCAGGGTCGCCAGCGGAGGCGGGGCCCCTGTCCTCTGGAGGTCAGAGGTGAGGACCAGGCTGGGGACAGGGGACACGGGTTTGGGAATCAGCCACACGCAGACCACGTGGGCAGCCCCGAGATGCTCCCGCACGAAGGGGAGAGCAACACTGGGAGCCCCCTGTGAGGAGGAAAGACCCAAAGACATGGTGTCCCAGAAACCGGGCAGGGGGAGTGTGTCCAGTGCTGCTGCTGAGTCAGGTAAACTGAGGACAGAGAAATGTCCACAGATCCAGCAACGCCGAGGTCACTGGTGCTACTCGCCAAAAACACTTCAGTAGAGTGGGAGCCTATAGTCAGACTGAAGTGGGTTCTCAAAAGGAAAGCAGAGAAGGAATGGGAGCCAGTGAGTATGGACAGCTGGTTCCCCGAGTTTTGTTCGGCAGGGGAGCTACGAGCGGGTTGGTGGGTGGAGTACGACATAGGGTCAGCGCTGTTCCCTGGTACAGAAGATGGCATGCACGCGTGCACGGCTGCAGCACGTCCGGGGGAATCAGTGACCAGTGGGAAACGCCCTGCGGAGCCGCTTCCTCGGGCGAGGGGGTGAGAACCCATGCCCGGGCCGCCTCTCGAGGCCGGCCAGCTCTAATGAAATGAAGCCTGGAGAGACCTAGGAGCTGCTCCAGCCCCCCGGGGTTCCGGTTGTGCAAAGCTGGTGTGTTGGCAGAAGGTAGTGAGGAAAACAGCCCCCCGCAACCTGCGCGCCCAGATCAGGGGAGGGCCGTGCATTCGGAGCATGGGCACCAGCTGTCTCGGTCCCTGTCGTCACAGGGTCTGGAGGAGGGCATCTCACAGATCACATCCAAGAGCCAGGATGTGCGGCGAGCACTGGTGTGGAACTTCCCCATCGACGTCACCTTTAAGAGTACCAACCCCTATGGCTGTGAGTCTGCAGGGGCCCCCAGGGACACGGGGGGGGGGTGGCGCCCCGGGGCCCTCCGCTCCCAGCTCCTCTCTGCCCGTCGCCTGGGCCCTTGCGCCAGCCCCGTCCTGTGCTCTCTTCCCACCTGGCCGTTTCCCTCTACTTTCCCCCGCCACCCTCCCCATCCTCCCAGTTCGTGGACAGGCGGTAGAGTTGACTTTTAGGAAGCTCAGAGTGTATCAGGTGGAGGCCCAGCCTGCGGCCTTGGCTGGCTCCATGAATACTCGCCCTGGGTGGGCTTGGACTAGCTTCCTAACTAATCCTATGTGGTGGAGAGATTGCTCTGCGTTTCTTTTCTCACATTAGGAAACTGATGCCAAAAAGTAACATCATTTGCCTTCAGCTTTATATCTAGCAGCTGAGCATGGATTGGATTTCAGGTCCATCTGATTTCACAGTCTGGGCCTTTCTGCTGCATGTGGCTTGGGGCCTCGGCTTGCCGGGTGCGGGGGCTCTGGAGCAGGGGCTGCCTGGTGGTCCTCCTTGTCATTATCCACGAGTAAGAATGCTTCCGTAGGCTTCCTGGACCAGGGCACTAGATTATGGACCAGTCTCCTGCTGCTGAGGAGGGCTAGCAGAGGCAAATACAGTATTAAAAAGCGAAAACAAAACACAACTATTCAAAGGCATCAGAGAGCTAGCAAAGTATTGGAGATTTGCCAGGCCAAGATCCAGGAGAAAACAGACCTCTAGGGATGTGATCCCACTCACATCGCCCCTGGGAGTATTTGCTCACTCCACCGGACGTGACCGAGAGGCTGATCGAGGGTTTTGACAGCTGCCCTGGGCTCGGGGTGCAAGAACCAGGAAAATCCCTGCAACCTGGACGGAGAGCTTGAAGTGCTTGCTGCACCCTGGGAGGAGGGGGGAACTGGGAGCAGCCCAGCCCTGGATTGTTCCAGACCTTGAACACCGTTGCAAAAACTGCCAAACAAAATATTCATAAGCCAAATCTAGTAGGATGTAAAAGGGATAATACATCATGAACAAGTATGGTTTATTCCAGAAATACAAAGCTTATATAATATCTGAAATCAACCAACGTGATTCACTGCTTTAAAAAGAAGGAAAGTCACGATCATCCCCATAAATGTAGAAACCATGATAAAAGTCAACATCCATTCATGATAAACACTTAGCAAACTAGGAATAAAAGGAAACTTTTTTTTTTTTTTTTTAACTAGGCTCCATGCCCTGTGTGGAGCCTGATGCGGGGCCAGAACTCACGACCCCTGAGCTGAGATCGAGACCTGGGCTGAGATCAAGAGTTGGACCCCCAACTGACCGAGCCACCCAGGCGCTCCTAGAAGGAAACTTTCTTAATTTGATAAGGGCTGTCTACAAAAAATTTAGAGCAGACATCACCTTTTCTAAGTGAAATGGTGAAAGATTTCCTTGTTGCCACCACCACAAACGAGAGGCATAAGAATTAGGAAGAATATGTCCTTTTTAAAAAAAAAAAAAAGATTTTATTTATTCGAGAGAGAGAGCACGAGCAGGGGAGAGGGAGAAGCAGGCTCTCTGCCGAGCAGGGAGTAGGCAGCCCATGTGGGGATCGGTCCCAGGACCCCGGGATCGTGACCTGAGCTGAAGGCAGACGCTTAACCACCTGAGCCACCCAGGCGCCCGAAAACTCTTGTTTCACAGGTGACATTATGTATGTAGAATTTGCAAAATAACCTACAGATAAGTTACTAGAAATAATAAATTGGCATGAATGCCAGATAGGAGATAGACAAAACCCAGTGGCTTTTCGTATAAAAATAAATAGAATATGTATTCTCTTGTGCACAAAAAGTGATTCAAAAATGATATTTTAAAAAGAAATTCTTTACAATCATATCAAAATATAACAGCTCAAAAGACAGGCCACGGAATTCACACACATACACACTGCACGTCAATGAGGAAAAGACTCATGTTGTAGAAATACGGGCGAGAGACTGAGCAGGTACTTCACGAAGGAGGACGTCCAAGTGATGGAGAAACAGAGCAAGGTCTTTATTTTAGTGAGAAAGATTGCAGTGAAGGCAGACGCGAAGGCAGGCTACGGGAAGCTGCCACCGGAATAGCTCCAGTCAGGGAGACTGAGGACCCCCAGCATTGTGAGGATGTGGCGTGAGGGCAACTCCAGTGACTGGCGGGAGTGGGGTGATCCAACCCCTTTGGAAGACCGCTCCGCGTTACCTTTGCAGACCGAGCGTCCGCACACCCTGTGCAGCTCCTCCTGGGACGTGTGCTCGTGTGGGCCAGAGCTTGAACGAGAGTGGCGGCGAGCTCATAGCCTCAGCACCCGGGGGGCCCCCCAAGGAGAGACTACCCACATGTCCATCGGCACTGGAGCGAACCAAGTCCTTGCGGTTGGTCCAGAGCTAGAATGTTTACTCTAGTGTTAATAAATTTAAAAAGTGGGGGGAGGGGAACGCCTGGGTGGCTCAGTAGGTTAAGCGTCTGCCTTCGGCTCAGGTCGTGATCCCAGAGTCACGGGATCGAGTCCCATATTGGGCTCCCTGCTCAGCGGGGAGTGTGCCTCTACCTCTGCATGCTGCTCCCACTGCTTGTGCCCTCGCTTGCTCTCTGACCAAAAAAAAAAAAAAAAAAGGTCCTCTAGCATTGAGAACGAGCGACAATCCCCTACATGACACAGTTCGGACAAATCTCACAAACATGATGTTGAATTAAAGAAGCTGGATACCAATACACTATATGATTCCATTCGTATAAATTAAAAAAAAAAAATGGGTAAAACCAGGGCATTGGGGTGGCTCAGTCGGTTAAGTGTCTGACTCTTAGTTTCGGCTCAGCATGGAGTCCACTTGGGATTCTCTCCTCCTCCCTCTGCCCCTCCCCCTGCTCGCTCGCTCACTCTTTCTCTTGCTCTCTCTCAAAATTAAGTAAATAAATAAAATCTTTAAAAAAAAAATGGGTAGGGATGCCTGGGTGGCTCAGTCGTTAAGCATCTGCCTTCAGCTCAGGTCATGATCCCAGGGTCCCGGGATCGAGCCCCGCCTCGGGCTCCCTGCTCGGCGGGAAGCCTGCTTCTCCCTCTCCCGCTCCCCCTGCTTGTGTTCCCTCTCTCACTGTGTCTCTGTCAAATAAGTACATCTTTAAAAAAAAAAAAATTAAAATTAAAAAAAAATGGGTAAAACCAAAGTACCATGTTTGGGATGCATTCTTTGGTGGGGAAGCTTTAGAAGACATGCTTTCATCAAATCAGAATAGGGGCTACCTCTGGGGGAGGGGGAGTGATGGGAAGGGCCCAAACCGTCCCTAACACTCACCGAGCACTTGCCCTGCATCAGGCGCTACTTTCCCTCAGAGGTGAGGGACCCGAGAGGCTAGGAGGTGAGGTGACTGATGGCCTGAGGCCCGTCCCACAGGCCACAGGTCAGCCTGGAAGCTCGCCTGCCGCCTATCAGCGCCTCCCCGGTGGGATCGGTGGTCATTTAAACGAAAGTGCATGGAAGGTCTTTCCCTCTGACCTCCCCCGCAGCACCCCAAAGCCAGCCCCTGTGGCCCGTGAGCCCGTGCAGTATGCGCTTGAATCTGACCACCTGTATCAGAAAGGAAGCTCCCGAGAAGCGGCCCCTTTACTCACTTCCCAGCTGGGTCCCTGTGCCTCAAGCAGAGGAGAAAAGTGCCTTCAGGGGCCCTCCCTGTATCGTCAAGGTACAGGATCTGCGGGGCATCCGGCCCTGTGACTCCGGGCTGAGCAGGGGGCCTTGCCGGCAGGTGGCAGACCATGCTCCCCACTGCTGTCCCCGCCCACCTCCCCAGATTCTGTGTGGGCAGAAGCCCTTAGCGGAGAAGGGGGGTCCCATGTCCACATCCGTTCTCTGCCCTGCACCTTCCCCTGAATTACCCCGCCCGCTGACACCTTGTCTTGTTCTTCCCAAGGGCCACAGATCGTGCTCAGTGTGTACGGACCAGACGTGTTCGGGAACGATGTGGTCCGAGGCTACGGGGCCGTGCACGTGCCTTTCTCACCCGGCAGGTGGGTTCTGGCTGTGCCCGGCTCCCTGGGCCACAGTCCATCCCTTGCTAGGCCGTGCTGCCTTAGGGCCAGGGCACCCCCCCCCCCGCAGGGCTTTTCCTGGGACAGACTTCACCCCTAGGCTAGCAGTGTGCTGGGGTCCCCACGGACCTGAGCAGCAGGGCTTGGGGGCGGGGGGCGAGTTGAAGCTGGAGCCCATATCTGGGAAGAGGCCCACATGGGTGAGGCCAAGACTGCCACCCGAACAGCAGGTGGGTGCAGGGAGTGTTGGAGGCCCCGCGAGGGGCTGGGTCCAGCGACAGATAGTTCGCAGGCAGTTTGGGGTTACAATTCAGACGCTCAGTCCCCTCCTGTTTCTGCCCCCGCTCTGTCCCATGAGCGCTCACTGATGCCCCCATGTGCCCCGCTCCCGCTGGTGTCATATGTGACCACGTGGGGCCTTCCTCAGGAGCCCCCAGAGGAGTAGACACAGATGGAGAGATGCAATTGTCTTTTGTTAAGCACAGTGACAGGTATAGACAGGGTATTCTGGGGCGCCGAGGACAGGAGTTTGCCTGGAGAAGGTGGAGGAAGGTGGAGGAACAGCCAAATACTCTGCGCATTGTTGCTGAGACAGAGAGTGCAAGATGTGGGGAGGAGGCAGGGGCTGGGGCGGTGAGGGGCAGGACGCCAGGCTAGGCTTGGAGGGCAGGACTGGGGCAGGGGGCTGCAGCGGGGGTAAGGTTCCGGGGATCGCCAGGGGCTTGCTGGAGGAAGGGCACCCAAACGGGGCCTTGGAGATGGTGGAGGATTCGGACATGTGCGGGACAGGGCTTCTGAGGGCCCCAGTGGGAGCCGGGACCCCAGCTGTGATGGTTGTACCCCAGCATCCTCCTGAGCCTTTACAAGAAACAAGCCTCGCAGGGACTCTGGGCCGTTTTCTGCACCTCACTCCCAGCGCCGCACAGCGGGTGCGGGCAGCCGGCCCGCCTGGCCTTGGCTTGGACTTGGCATTGCCTGATCCACCGCTCCTGCTCGCCGGAGGCTCAGAAAGGCCCACTTTTCTGTTAGTCAGCACATCTGTCCAGGAAAACGTTTGTTTCAGGCACAAAAGGACCATCCCCATGTTTGTCCCCGAATCCACGTCTAAACTGCAGAAGTTTACAAGGTGAGTTTTCTACATGTCTCCCTCCCGCAGCGCCTGCTTCTGACCTACGTGGTCAGAGTGGAGGGAGGGAGGGGTGTCCCTGTCCCTCCCTCATCGGGTCTCCCAACTGCTCTGTCCTTGTGGCCCGGGAAAGCGGGGACTGTGGGATGTCCAAGGGTCGCTGGGCTCCCTTCAGCCGCTGTTCCAACTGCATGAGGCCGTGCACCTTTATGCTCTGTGATCTTTGTGTCAGAGCAGAGCAAAAGCTCTCGTCAGATGGGGAAATGCTCATGACATAATAGGGCATTAAAAAGGTAGGACACGGGAGGATACAGCAGTAAGAGCCGAACGGAATCCTGACGGGCAATTTCTATCAGTTTGGAAATGCCTCACATGTGGGGGCCTCTTGGAGGAGGTGATGTCTGAGCAGAAACGAGAGTAGAGGTAAGGGCCAGTGTGGGCGATCTGGGGAGGGAACATTCCAGGCGTAGGAAACAGTGCAAGGTCCATGGGCTTCCTGTGTGCGGAGCCAACAAGGACGGGCTGTCGCTGGTGGGTGGTGAGCAAGGCGAGTGTGGGGGAGACACCAGGCAGGGAGCCTCTTGCCCCTTACCACATCCGCATCTAGGCTTAGAGGGCCGGCTGACTGCCTCGAGGCTGGGGATAGAAGCTTCTGTCAGCTTAGCTCGGCTGCAAGCCACCACTGCTCCCCACTGGGTCAGCCGGGAATGGGCGCTCTGTTCACAGCCGGGATGGGGGCGGGGGTGGGGTGGGGGGGATGGAGGACCACCTGGGTGCCCAGGTGGCAGCTGACGAGCAGCCCCTTGCAGGCCTGGCCAGTTTTGGGGTGAGCCTTGGCCGGAGCCCTGTGGGGCAGAGGGCCAGTGTTGGGCCTGCGCCGAGGAAGCCTCACTGAGTTCTGAGGCCTGGAGGGGAGAATCTGGCAGCCCGCCGCCCCTCGAAGGTCCCCTGGGAGGCCACCGTGATGGGAAGGTGCCCTGGGCCAGCGTCAGCTACAGGGGACCACACCCAGCCGAGGACTGTCGGGAAAATGGGGGCTGTGCCCGTCAGCGGGTAGAGGGAGGTTAAGGGCTTTGAGCCCACGCCGATGTCCTGGCCGGGGCGTCCGCACCGCTCTAAGCCCCGCAGCTCCCAGGGAAGCTCGGGTCTCGGGGCCACAGCCCTCTGAGGAAAGGGTCTCAGTGCTGGAGAAGCTTCTGGGTGCTTCTGCCGGTGCCTGAGGCTAGCAGCCCGGGGCCGGGGCGGTCTCCCCCGGGCGAGGCGTGTTCCTGCTGTTGGGACGCTGGGGAAAGGTTCTGATGAGCGAAGGCGGCTGGATCCCAGTCTTCCCAGAGCCTGTCGGTGGAGGCCAGCCCTCGCCCAGCCCACCCGGCCTGCCCTCCTCCGCTCAGCCCTGTGTTAGTTCCCGGGGCTGCTGTAACCAGTGACCACAAACTCGATGGCGTCAACGACAGAAATTTATTGTCTCCCAGGCCAAAGTCAGCGTCAGTGGGCTGAGATCGGGGCGCCGGCAGGGCTGCCCCCCCGACCCCTCAGGCTCTTGGGGAGAATCTGCTCCTGGCTTCTTCCAACTTCTGGTGCCTGCGGCCTTCCTCGGCTTGGGGCCCATCACTCCAGTCTCTGCCTCTGTGGTCACGTGTGTGACCTCACGTGTCACCCCTCTCCTGTCTGTGTCACCTCTCCCTCCACCTCGCTTAGAGGGACACTTGGGGCATTTAGGGCCCAACCAGATAATCCAGGACAACCCCCCCCCCATGTTTAAGATCCTTATTTTAGTCACATGTGCAAAGATCCTTTTCCCAAATACAGTCACATTTGCAAGTTCCAGGGACTAGGACCTGATATCTGGGGCCGTTACCCAGCTCCTGACAGCGACCCCCACCTAGCCTTCACAGAGCGACAAAAATGCTTTTCCTAAACACGCAAGCTTAGAAACACATCAAGCATTAACTTCAGCTAGGGTGCTGCGAGACCCTGCGTTCTCCTGCCCCCTGACTTCGGGCCCTCCCCCCTGCCTGCGTGCCCCCGGACTCGCTTCCTCCAGCCCGCTGGGTCCTTCCCGGCCTCAGCCCTTGCCTGGATGCTCGCCCCTACCCCGAACGGCCCGTCCTTGTGGACCTCAGGAGACAGCAGCGCAGTGGCTACAGGAGCTCTGAGTACGAGTAGGTGGGGGTGTGCCAGGCTCTGTGGCTGCTTCCCCTGCCTACGAGGTGGAGAGCCCCCCCTCCTCCTATGGAGAAACTGAGGCACAGAGCGGCGGTGGCCTGCCATCCAGCCCTGGCTGGAACCCCAGCTTCCCAATCCTCCACATCCCCTCTCCCGAGGCTGGGAGCCCGTGAGCCCCCCTACTGGCTGTCCCCATGGCCTGCAGACAGCAGGGGGCAGCCACTGCTTTGTCCAGCGGAAGCCGGGACGGAGCCCCGCCCCCGGGCGGCACCCAGTGGCACCCGTGCCCTCGCCAGAGAGTGCACCCCGGGGCCGGGGGGGCTGGCCGAGTCGGGGTGGACTGAGCCAACAGGGGACTCCGGTGCGGGGCTGGAGGGCCTGCTGGTGGGGGGAGGGTGGGGGCGCTGGGGCGCTGGGGCGGAGTGCAGGCCCGCTGGCCCTCCCAGGCCAGCCACTTTGGTGGAAGGCAGGGCGGAGCCTGCTCTGGGGATGCGGGAACCTCAGCGGACAGACCGAGGGGCCTCCTTCCCGTGGGGCGCCCGCTGCCCACAGCCGCATCACTGGCCTCCCCCAGCAGGACCCCCAAAGCGCGGGCTGGAGGCGCTCCTGGATGGTTCGACGCCCACGTCTGGCCACCCGGTGGGGAACGTGCACCCAGACTGCTGGAGGGGCCTGGAGCGGAGGCCTGGGACGGCACCCCTGCACGCAGCCCGCGCCGCCGTGCTGCTCTCAGCCTGGGGGGGCGCGTACGGAGCCGGGCTGCTGGGAGGGGCAGGGGCGCACCTGCGATGGGGGGGTGAGAGGGTCGTGTCGGGCACCCCGGAGCACCTCGGTGAACCTCGAAACGAGAACCATACTCGGACGAATGTCTCACCTGGGAGGGCAGAGTGCCTTCACCTCGGGCCCCATGAGCTAGCTACCATTAGGTACAGCTGAGAGGAACTGGGGCTCAGGGGTTCAGAGACGGGAAGCGACTTGTCCTGGATCCCACACTATTGAGAGGAAAGTGGAGAGCCCAGACCTGGCCCCTCTGCCCACCCCAAGGAGGCCAATGCTGAACTCCGGAAGGATGGAGCGGGTCACACTGCCCTTTCTGGGATTTCCACTTGGGCCCCCGCTGTGCCCCCAGCCCCACATCTCCCTCAAGGCCGCGGGTGACCGTGATGGGAAAGCCCAGCGTGCAGCTGAGGAGGGGGGGGGCACAGAGCCCCCCGGGGCCTGGGGGCAGCCTGCCGGGCACCCAGCCGCACCTTTCCCCGGCAGAGGGAGGGGGCGTGGGAAGGTTGTGCCCAGGGCCTGGCCCCCGGGGCAGGGCTGGGAGGAGGGCTGCTGGTTTCCGAGGGCAGGAGAGAGCCCACGTCTTGGCTCCGAGGCATGGCCAGGCCGAGGGTCCTCTCACCCAGTGCTCTCCTGTCTTCCCAGCTGGTTCATGGGACGGCGGCCCGAGTACACAGACCCCAAGGTGGTGGCTCAGGGTGAAGGCCGGGAAGGTAAAGCCTGACCCCCCCCAACCCCACCCCCCTCGGGCAAGCCAGAGCCCGGAAGGGCCTAGGCGGACCCCCAGCAAACACGGTGGACGCCGGGCACCTGCCAGGCACACAGATGGACCGCGGGGGCAGCCCCAGGCCTCGGCCCCGAGCGCCGCTCCCCCCCCGCCCGGGCCTGGTTGGAGGGTCTGCCATGGCCGTCTGTCCCCGGTGCCGCCCCCGTACCTCCCAGTCGTTCCCACTTTACAGGAGAGACTGCCGGGGCGGAGACATCCCCAGAGCAGCCTGCCTGACGCTGCCCTTCTCTTCCCAGTGACCCGAGTCCGCTCGCAGGGCTTTGTCACTCTCCTCTTCAACGTGGTGACCAAGGACATGAGGAAGCTGGGCTACGACACTGGGCCTCCCGACATGCAGGGCGCCTCAGGGCCCACCCCGCCGCAGGGCCTCCCCCAGTGAAGGCCCCTGCCACGGCCACGGACTCTGGCCACGCCGCCGCGCAGGCCAGGCGGCCCTCAGAGAACGCAGGGCTGTCCTTCCGGAGAGTTGGCCACAGATCCACCTGCTTGTGCAGCCGTGGGGGGCTCGGAGGGGTGGGGGGGGAGATTTTTATATAATAAAGCATCACCTTTTCACCGAACCCAGGCCTGGAGCTACTTCCTCTCCCCTTGGCACTGCCCCCCACTCCCTGGGAGCAGGTCACCGGGGCCCGCCTGCCACCCTCCCCGCACTGCTTCGGGGAGAGGCACCCCGACGGCCACCCGGCACGTGAGGTCTGGTTCAACCCCGCTCATGGCTGTGTGGCCTTGCCTTCGCCTCCAGACTCTCCTCCCTAACGCGGGAGGGAGACCAAGAGGCTTTCGGGGCTCAGTGCTAGGAGGAGAGAATGGGATCGGCGGGAGCTGCAGGGAGAAGCCCCCCGCTCTCCGGTGTCACGGCAGCCCAGCACCCTCAACACAGGTCCCCACGGCACGGCTGGGGTAGTCCCCCTCGCGGCCTGCCCCCCCCACCTGGGGATGGGACACGCAGCCCGCCGGGGCTGCTCTCCACCCAGCACCGCCCTCAGCCCGATTCGAGGGGAGCCACAGAGCCCCGGGCACCCGGCCCGCAGACCACCGGCCTCGCCGCCCCCCCCGCCCCCCCCGCCGCCCTGGCTGTCCGTGGAACCTACCCCACGACACCCCTGCGCTGGCCCCACTCTGCCCCTCCTCTTACTTAGCTGTCTGCGCCCCGGAAGTCTGTGCTGCTCAGGGCCCCCCCGGCCCCCCGTGTGCTCGGCAACTCGTGGTCTGGCGTCAGCAACATTCCTGTGATTCTGACCCTCTGCTCCCAATGGAAAGTTCCCTCCACTTCGGTCCTGTGCTGAAGCCCACACTGGCCCTCTGCAGCCCTGTTCCGCCGCCCCCCGCGGACCGTGGGCCCAGAGACGAGGTTTGCGTCCAGACCCCACTCACATTTCCAGCATTTCCATGGCCCCGTGCTGGGCCGGCACCCACCGAGGGCCAGACCGCCTTGCCCTCGGGCCATTCCGGACACCACCAGCGTCCACGCCTCTTCTGAGAGCCTCCTCCCCTTCGATGACCTTGGCCTTACCCCTCAGCAGGCACCCATCCCACCGCCTGTTTCTTGTTACCAGTGACTGCACTGCCTCCAAGCTATGCACCCAGGCGTCCCCGTCCGTCCCTCCTGGTGGTCCGTGTCCCCTCACCTCGTCTTCCCTCCTGGCACCTCCAGTAGCGCTCACCCTCAGCTGAAGGGCTCATGGGGAAATGGCAATGACCCCAGACGGGCGCCTGGCTGGCTCCGTCGGTGGAGTGTGCGATTCTTCATCTCGGGGTTGTGAGTTCGAGCCCCACGCCGGGGGGCGGGGGTAGAAATTACTTTAAAAAATAAAATAAAATCTTTAAAATAAATAAATAAAGAGATCCAGGAGCTTGCTCTCTTCCACCACCACGTCAGGCCCGGTCCGCCAGCACCTCTGACCGTGGTCCCGCCTCCTTCTTGTTCGTTCCATTATGCAGTTTTATCAACACTTTCTTACGAAGTGGAAATAAGGTCACCGTGAACAGCCGGCCACCAGCCGCCCCGATGTCACCCCCGCCGGCTTCCCATACTTGGCAGTTCTCATCCCTCCTTCCATCGGCCTGGTTTGGGGACATTTCCAAATAAATCGCAGACAGCAGTACATTTCAGCATATGCCTATCCGGGCCCGGAGTTCCGGATCTGTTTGTGGGTGTCGTTTGTGTCTCTCGAGGGAACGTGGGTGCGGACTGAAATGCATAAATGTCAAGCGTGCTACGGACGCGCTGAGTTTTGACCAGCGCGTGCCCGACGCCTGGTCAGGGTCTAAAAGGCGACCGTCACCTCAGGAAGCTGCCCCGCGCCTCTCCCAGCCAAGGCAGGAGGCGGCTAGAAACTTGGGAGGCTGAGGGCACCCTGGTGGAGATCTGGGACCATCCACATGAGGAACGGTCAAGGGGGACGGCCCCGAGCTCTCCCTTCACTGTCCACTCTGTCCTCCACGGTGGCGGCACCGCGGCCTCACCGGAAGGCTCCACTCCCCGGGCCTCTTGTATACAGGTGGGTCCCTGCCAGTAGTTCTGGCCAAAGAAAGGTGGGCTGAAAGGCTGTCCAGCACTCATAGGTCTGACCCACTTAAAAGCTCCCTGGGTTGGTCCTTCCATGCTTCCCCATGGCACCCTGGAGGCCACATTTTGAGGACAGAACGTGGTAAGGGAGGAGCCAAGGAACATCCCCACTGGGCAGTTTCTGAGCAACTTTTACCGTGTTCTGGGGCAGGTTTCTGCAGAGCATTCTAGTCTGATACGGAAATTGGAAATCACGAGTGGGTTTGCACTATCACCCAAACCAGAACCAACCAAGTATATGTGGTATTGGCTTGGCAGCTGGGTGACAAGCAGGAAGAACACAGAAAAAAGGCTGGACGGCAGGAGGGCTCTATTATGTGAGCCCACAACTAGGTTAAGGCACTTGAGCTAATGCGGGAGGCAGCTTCTGTGCCTGGTGGGCCAACTCCAGGGCCAGGCCAGGGTGCTGATAGGATGCGTCGGGCGGGTCGGCTACTGCATGTGGAGAGCCGTGGGCTCAGAAGAGAAAAGGCCTGTCTGCAAGCCGAAATGACAGAGAACCCAAAACGGGGGCATCGAAAGGTTGGAAAAGGAAACTGTGTCCAGAAGTCAAATGGGAAGAGCGAAGAAGGAAAAATGCTTCGAGCACTCAAGTCCTAGTAAAAACATCTCGCGGGGACAAGGAACTCAGCCGCCTGGTTAAGTATCAGATTTACGGGGTCACGCTCCTACGTTACCCCAAACGGCCCCAACAGTAGCTACCAGGAAGCATGGGGGTAAGGCGGCAAGGAAGAACCGTGCATGTGTGCCTTTTATCTACAGCTGTGTAACAAACTGCCCCCAAACACGGTCGCCTAAGACCACCCTGCCCGTGATCTCCTGTGATTCTGTAAGGGACCCCAGGATGCCTCCCTTGGGGGAAGGGATATGCTCTACGTGCAGAAGAACAAAATCTGTATTTGGTGACCGGAAGGCCAGCTGTGACAGAGACCAGCCGCACGTGACCCTAACCCACTCCCGCTCCCTGGCCCCGCCGGCCCCCAGCCCTCCAAGACCTCACACACATCTCCCTCTGCTCGCTCCTTCCCTTCCACGGCCACCTGCCCACGGCAGCGGAGCTGCCCAAGGAGGTACTGGACTGTGTGAGAAGACCGACAAGGGGTTCATCACCCTGACAAACGCGCCCCTCTCTGGTCCGGGGAGTGGCAGGCGCCGCTGCTCCGGACTCTGGCAAACCCTCTCCGGGCCCCCTGTTGAGTCCCGCTCCCTCAGTGGCCACCAGGCGGCCAGGGCGGCCCCAGAGCAGAGGCTAGAGCTAGGGGTCCTCGCAAGAGGGAAGCCACACGCCCGCCCCAGGCCTCCCTCTCCACCCCGTCCTGGCCTTTGCCATGCACCCTCCTGCTGTCGGAACACCTCTTCCGTCCCTGCCCGGAAAGGAGTTTCTGTCCTTCAGCCGCTGGGCCGCTTCTGATCACAGGATCCCAAGTCCCCCCAGCCACCAACGCCCTTGCCGACCCCCCCCCCCCCCCCCCCCCCCCCCCCCCCGCGCCCCCCCCCCCCCCCCCCCGTCACGGTGCCTCGAGGGCTGCCTCCCGGCCAGTCTCCTCCCCAGACCTGCTGAGGCTCACGCAGGCAGGCATGAGGACTGGCTCCTGCCCGCCTGTCTCCGGTGGGAGCCGGATACAGATGGGAGTGAGGGAAGAACACAGCCAGAAACCGCATCATGATACAAATGATAAATTATATTTGTACAGTAAATAAGTATCAATAGTCAACACAAGTTCAAAACCAGCCACCGGCCCCTGGGACTGAGGAAACGGCTGGGCGACCCCCCTACCACAGTGCCCATCGGGAGGGAGCGTTACAGGGGTGGCAGTGGCCGGTGGCTTCATGATCAGTGCAGCAGGCGACAGGGACAAGGCGCCTGGGATGGGCCTGGGGCGGCGGGGCGGGGGGGAAGGGGTGCGGGGGGTTCTTCTGGGGCCTTGGCGGCCCAGTGGCTAGAATGTTGGGGCCTCAAAGTCAAGTCAGGAAGGGCTCTTGACTTATAAAAGAATCACTGACCCAGTAGTCAGGTTTGGTCTACTGGCCTGTGCGGGGGTCCAGGCTCGCACCATATGAGTGAAAGCACCTCCCCGGGGGAGCGACCTGCCGGGCCCCAGCCTGTCTCCACCCTCCCCCAGGTCGGAGGCGGCCAGACCGGGCGGGAGCCCGTGGTCCAGCCCCAGGTCGAGGCATGGCCGGTTAGGAGCTCCGGCGGTGGCTCCTCCAGGGGGACAGCCTTGGGGAGCAGCACGGGTGAGCTTTTAAAATCAGGCAACAGTAGAGGTGGGAGAAGGCTGTTCTCGACTCTGCCTGCTCCCCTCCAGGGCAGGGCAGATTTCCTCCGGGAGCTGGGCGAGGGGAGGGGGGGAGCGGAGGAACACCAGGGGGTCGGCTGCCCTTGGAGTTGGGGGGGCTGGGGAGGGGGGAGAAGTCCACAGTGGAAAGCAAGACTGGGGCGCCCACCAGGCAAGGTGACCTGACCGGACGCAGGATAGGGGGGTAGGGGGTGGGGTTCCCCTCCCTGGGGAGATTCGCGTCTTTTCTGGTCTTTCTCTTTCGTGAATTCATACTTTTCTTCTAGTGGTGGTGGGGCAAGAGGAGAGGAGGAAGTTGGGAGAGAGGTAATATTAGGGCCTGTTTGTTAAAAATCCATGTGAGAATGACTTTTTTTCCTGCCTCTCCAAAACAAGAGATGATTATTTTGAAGTCTGCAGTGTGTGTCTGGAGTCAGCAGGCGGGTGGGTCAGGGCCAGCCCTGGCCGCTCACCCGTCTCGGCCTGCAGGCCGTCCCTGGGGAGCCCCCTGATGCCGTCTCCACGCCATCCCCATCCTTACCCTGAGTGCGGATTAAGACAGAGGAGATCACAGACACACAAGTTTCAAGATGCCTCTTCCGTTTCAGATTTCCACTGGAAGCGGAAGTCCTCGTTGATCCGTGCATGCCTTCAGTTACAAAAGGGAATGGCTGATAAAAACCAGTGAGTCACATTCATCCGTTAGATTTTTTTTTTCTTTAACTTGATGTTGGTGGAGCAGTAAGAAAAATAGCCTCTCTCTGAATCTAGCCCAATAGGCTGCAGGTCAACCCATTTGGTAAGTCACCAAAAAAAGGGAGTAAAAGAAAGGAAAAGGCAACTGGAGGCTGGGTTTTTGTTGTTGTTGCAGGTTTTTTTTTTTAAATAAACATCATCTTTCCTATGTAATCAAATTCCCATATTTTTCCCTATAAAGAATTCGCTTTAGTTTTTTTTATAAGGCATTTTTTTTTGTCTCTTCCTATTTAAATTTTCTTAGAGTTAAACCATAAATAAGAGGGTTTAAACCACTCACATGACACGTGCCAATATCTTAATTCAGCCAGACCTGGTAAATTCTATCAAAACTAGACAGTTAAATAAGAACCACGTTATAAAAATATTAGCCAAAAAAAGACTATCAGATAATTCTGCAAACTCAAATATGAAACTGTACTAAACAAATTATGTGCAAACGTATACAAGCATACAGCCAAGTGGCAGGGTTATGCTCAGATTAGTTTAAAGCTTGCTCTAGTGGATTTAATTCAAGAGTTGTTCCACGGTGGTGTGTTTACTTTGAACTCACACACGAGTCAAAGAAAAATAAAATATGCACAACCACTTCCCCGAAAAGATCAGCGTCTCATGAAGTCAGTGCTTCATTCTGTCCACACCTGGGACCGCCTGGGGGTGTCGTTGGGGCTGGGGGGCGGGGGGGGGGGGGGAGGGGGGAAAGACGTGGCGGCCTTCCCAAGGCCCCGGGCCAGGTGGCATCCGAGAGGCCCTCAGGCTGAGGCTCAGGGCGAGGGCGACGCTGAGGACTCCCGCCTCATCCCAGGCCCTGGAGAGCCACCAATCTACAGGACCAGGACCTCTGCGCTCGGGAGGAAGCGGAGAGGCGACCAGGCCCGGGTCGGGCCCCTCCCACAGGCAGCGGGCGGGCGGCCTCGGAAGGCGCGGAGACCCACGTGCTGTGTCTGCCGTCTAGCAGGCCTGCCGCCGCTCGAGTCTGAGGGTTGGGGCTGGGAAGACAACCCTTTTAGCAGGAAGCCGGGACTGGGAAGCCCTAACACCCCCCCACCCCCCACCCCCACTCTTGGACACCAGTCCACAATCGAGAGTCCCTGCTCGGCGTCCTCAGGCATAGAGGCTCTGGGCATTCGCTCTGTGGTGGGTCCCAGGCCCGGGCACTAGAGAAGGAAAGGGTTGGTTGTGCCGGCGGCCTGAGCTGCCGAGGGGGGGATGCCCACGCTGCCCACCATGTTCATCGAGGCGGGGCCCAGTGGCGTCAGGGAGGAACCACTGGCCCCCAGGGCCGGGTGTGGGGCCGTGGAGGTCATGGAGGCCACAGCCATGGGCTCCACACCTGGGCTGGGCCCAAAAGACGTGCTGGTCCCCAGGACTGGGCTCCCCCGCAGCTGGTTCAGCGTCAGCGGCTGGGGCTGGTTCACCTGGAAGGGGTTGACAGGGGCAGAGGCGGCGGCTGCACCTGGGGGAGAGAGACAGTGGTAGAGTCAGAACAACGGCCGTCCCCAAGCCCAAGGGTGGGAGATGGTGGTGACCGGCAGGCAGCACATGTGCTCCGGCGTCTGCCCCTTTGGGCACGGGACGGGGTGCTTCCCAGGGCCGGCTGCTCTGCAGGGCCCGGGCGCCAGCCAACGCACGCCCCGCACGCCCCGCGCATCCGCCGGCTGCAGCTCTGGCCTCTGGTTGAGGACACGAAGGCCACTCGGAGCCAAGTGACTTGTCTGGAGTCACAAAGCCTGACTCGGGCAGTGCCGGGACCGTGCCTACTCGCAGCCGGCACCCCAGGACTCCCTCAGCAGCAAACACCTGGGGCCGCTCCCCTATTCGGTTTGCCAAGCTCAGGACCACAGGTGTCCGGGAAAGAGGGGCGCAAAGGGGGAGCTGGGAACCTCAGCGTGCGGCTTGACTGCCTGTCTCCACCCTGGACCCTGGGACCCAAGGGCTGGTGTAATAAAGGCTCGGAGAAGCCCCGCAGTCAAGAAGCGGATGCAGCTCTGTCTTATCCAGCGTTTCCAGAATTTATCACACATCATCAAGCCTTTTTCCCGAGCTTTTAGCAAAAACATGTGCTGATACTCTGCCAAAACACCCGCGAGCTGGCAGCACGGAGGCTCCAAAGCAGCCCAGCCCTTGAGCACAAAGGCTGCCCGCTGCGGGGCGCCCCCAGTCACCACCAGGAGATGTTGCCCGCACTCCATCCCACCCGGGGCGGGGGCAGGCCCTGCTGAGGGCACAGCCGGGCGGCCCCACACCTGCCCCTCTCGTACCCCTGCAGATCAGCCCCGCCAGAGCTGAGCCAACTCCCAGAGGTACCAGGAGCCCCACCCCACCCCACCCCACCCCGAGGCCAGATGGCGGGGCACTGGGCAGGAAAGCCAGCCTGGCTGACACACTGGGTTCGGATCCAGCTCCACCCAGGGAGCGAGGAGCAACCCCGTCCTTGCCCATCTCAGGACCATGGGGGTGGGTAGGACCCAGGCACTCCATATCCCACTTCTGCCCTAAGGACCCCACCCTCAGCTCTTCTAAGTCCTGGGGTCCTTCTCTGCAGGATCCTCTGAGAGGCTATGGCCCTGGGCTGCAGATTCCGCCGTCTTAGGGAGGGTCTCAGTCTGAACGCCCTGAATGTGACACATCCCGGCCCTTGGGGAGCCCACAGCCTTGCTGGACAACCGGGGTGGGGGACACTCCCCAGGGGGAGAGAGTTGTCTGGGCTGGATGCTGAGGATGACCGATCTCCCACTGGAAAAGAGGAGAGAGGGCGCTCCGGGCAGGGCGAGCACAGTGTGCAGGGGTGAGGAGCTCGGCGCCCCGGAGGGTCTGAGCACACGGCCCCAGCGGCCCCGGACTCTAAAGCAAGGCCTGGGGGCTTGTCCTGCAGCCCACACAGAGCCTTTGAAGGTGGAGAACAGGCCTTTAGACAGAGCCTGGCATCAGGGAGAATGGATACAGGGGAGGGGAGGGCGGAGTTCCCAGCCCTGGAAAGACAGGATCTGGCACCTCGAATGACTAAACGGAGGGTCTGTGGGCCCCTGGAAAATGCCCCCCCCAAAAGGGAAATGTTGGGCAGCAAACCCAGGCTCTTCCTCACCCGGCCACTGCCCTTCCCCAGCTGACCGAGAAGTGGAGCCCGCTGGAGGGTGTCCCTGGCCAAGGGCACCAGGTCCGGGGCAGCTTCTGCTCAGCGGTCTCCACTGAGAGCTGAGAGGAGCTGTTTTCCACCCATCCCCCCAAGCACACATCAGCTTTCGCGCCCCGCCCCCCCAAGGCCCTGGAGAGGCCCAGGAATTCCGGGCATGCCTCCCGTGTAAGGCAGGAAGAACCCCAAGAGGCCCGAGGAGAGGTCAGGGCCAGAGGCCGGCCCCAAAGCCAGTCAGCAAGGGCAGACAAGGACAGGGAGCATACCTGGTGCCAAGAAAGGGTTGAGGGACTGGGCCGGCGGGGCTGGCCTGGTCACCAGTGAGTCCAGGTTGACCAGGGCCGCGTTGGGGCCCAGGAAGGACTCGGGTGTTTTCCGGGCACTGCTGGGCTTGCTTGAGGCGGCGGTCAGGGGCTGGCACTCAAAGGGGTCGGGGCTTGTAGTTTCGTTGTTTTGGGACGGTGGCGAGGTCACGGCCTCAGCTACAAGACAAGGACACACAGGGGCCCGGTGAGGACGGGGCGGGGGGCGACCCGCGCGAGACACAGACATTCCGGGGGACAGCTGCGTGGCCACGCAGAAGACGGAGATGTTCGCTGCAGCGGTGCTTCCAACAGACCCGGCCAGGGACAGTCAGCCACGGGGCAGCTTACAGAAGCCCCGGTCATGTAACCAAAGCCAGAGTGCAGGGACAGGAGGCCTGCTGACAAGAGGACCGTGTCACGTCACGGAGAAGCAGAAGCTGGAAAACAAAGCGTACGGTAGGATCCTCCAGAAACATTAAGATGGTATTTGGGGCTGTGGGCTAGCCATGGGCAGTGGATGTTTCTTGTGTGTTTTCCCTGTCAGTCTCCTACAATGAACATGAATTTCTTGATAGAGAAGAAAAATTATTTTTTTAAAAATTCAGCCAGCGTGGCAGGGGGGTTAAAGGTTTTTAAAAATGGTCATACTCTCCACTCGGGATTCCCATTTCTAGGAATCTAGTCTCAGGAAATAATGCGAGATTGCAACGGGGACTCAAGCACAAGGATGTTCACCACAGCGTTATTTACTTCGGCAAAACCTGCAATCAACCAAAAGCGCACTCCCCAAGAGTAAAGTTCAAATCCGTGATTGCTGAGCGATACAAGGTATTCCATAGCTAGGGACTATTTTCTAAAGAATTTTTAACATCACGAGAAAATGCTTTCAATCCGTTATTCTACGGGGGGCGGGGGGGTGCAGGATTCAATGCTTTCTGACAGTATGAGCTGAACAACAACAAAAAAAGACCGTGTACACACAGCTCAGAAAAAATGCTGGAAGGAAACAGCGGCTGAAGTAGGGAGGATTACAGAGGAGTTCCGTTTTCTTCCATAAACTTTTCCAAATTTTCTACAATGGAAACAGCTCTAGAACTGGGGGTAAATCATTTGTAAGTGTACAGAAGGACTGTCCACGTAACAAGGCCACACTGCCTTCTCGCTGAGGCACACACGCGTGAGCAAGGACTGTTAAGTGTGCACTTTGCCCTGGAGGGGAGATGCATGGAATTTTGTTTCTTTAATGCAGCAAAGACCCCAAGCAGCAGTGCGTTCTAAGTTGCCTCTGGTCCCCTGAGCTGAGAGGGGGCCAAGGGGTGGTCAGGTGTGCCAGGCTGCTCGTACCTTAGACAGGGGGGCCAGCCGGGCCTGTGGCTGCCACTGGGGGAAGCGGTGGGAGGAGGTGAGAGGGAGGGGGTGGGGGGCAGATGCAGATGGGGGGGGTGGCCACAGGGAGCAGAGAGAGGAACGAGAAAGGAGACAAGCTGCTCTGTGTGGTGGGGGGGGTGGGGCCCTGGCTCTGTCCCCAGCCCGGTCTCTCTATACCCCACCCTGAAGCCCTGCCATCTTGGGGGCACTGGGCCGGGGCTCTGACAGGAGCTGGGTGGGAGCCACAGCCTGGGGTGATCAAGTGGGGGCAGAGACGTCCTGTCCAGGCCCACAGCTGGGACTGTCTGGAAAAGGGGCACCGTGGGGAGTGGGGGAGGCATATGGAGACAGTGGTTCAGATGGTGCGGCAGGGGCCCAGGCTGGGCTGGGGGGGCCAGGGCGGGGGGCTTGTGCCGGCAACCACGAGGGGCCTGGGGGCAGGGCCAGGGACACAGGGGTGAATGAGACAGGAAGCATGCGCCCAACACCAGGAGAGGGTGAAAGAAAATCTCAACCCCATGACTTTTCACTGCTGATGTGTGAATTCCTGCAACTAGCCACTTACAAGCTCCCAAGATCAAAACACAAAGAAAATGCATGAAGCTGAGAGGTTCTGAAAGCTGATTATTTCTGCCATGACTGGACTGGTCAAATGCACAGAACGTTATGGAAACCACGACCACATTCACATACCTGTTTTTTTTGAAGTCCGGAGGTTGTCAAATTCAGAAAAGTCATCTTTAATTGTACCATTCAAATTACTGAAGAGATCAAAGGCCCCTGGGTGAACACAAGAGGCTGGTGACTGCGGGTGCATCACGACTTCCCCGATTCTGCTTCCCGGTCTACAACCTTGGGGGGTGCTGGCCGAAGGCAGGGAAGGGATCTCTACCCCTGCTCCTGGGGGAGAACTGAGAGCCAGATGGCAGCTCGGGGTCACCTGGTGGTCGAGCAGGGGGCCGGGTCAAGGATCCGGGCCTCCCCGAACCTGGCGTGGGGGCATTAGCCTGCCACTGCTCCCACCAGCCCCACCCCAAACTGAAGGAGGGGCCAATGCGGGGTGTGGGGCGGACTTCTGAGCCGGGTTGAGAGACCTGGATAGTGCCTGTAGGAAGCTACTGGAAGGAGTGCCTAGAGCGTAGCCTGCCCAGGCCCCCTTGGGAAGCTCCCTCTGGACGGAGGTGCAGGGGCCCAGAAGGCCTGTGATCTCACCATTCACAGTGGGCTTGTGGCACGGGGGGGGGGGGGGGGGGGGGGGGGGGGGGGGGGGGGGGGGGGGGCAGGACTGGGGGGGGGGGGGGGGGGGGGGGGGGGGGGGGGGGGGGCAGGACTGGGGACAAAGGCTGCAGGTGACAAGGGCGGCAAGTGCAGACAAACCCACAGGTCCCATGCAGAGGAGCCAGGAGAGGGAAGAGCAGTGCAGCCAAAGGGGCTCTCAGAGCCTGGGCAGAGCGAGGTCTCACCAGAGGACGAGACGGGCTTGGCGGCCGAGGCTGCGGCCCAGGCATCCGCTGTTTTCCCGGCACTGGGGGCAGCCTGCTGCGGGGCCGCCCAGGGGTCTGAGCCCTTGGGCCCGGAGTGTGTGCTGCTGCCAGTGGGCACGCCCCACGGGTCCACGGAGGCAGCTGGCTTGGCACCTATAGGAAGACAGGGTAGGATCAGCTACGTCCTCAGAAAGTTTCGGAAAGCTGGGGTGAGAGAGGAAAGGGCACTGGGCCACGTGAGCCATGCCCGGGTCTGCCCCATGTCAGGACAGGCGGCCACCCTAAGGGTGCTGTCCCAGGCCAGTGAAGCTGGGCCGAGCTGAAGGCCGGGGCCTTTGGGGTTCCCACCCTGGGGCTGCGCAGGGCCCGGCCTGCTGGGAGGGTAGCAGACGGCACACAGCCGCGAACTTTCCCAAGTGCCTGCCACACATGGTCTCGCACGGAGCTCCCTGAGCTACGTGCAAGCCCGCCTCCCCAGAGTCCACTGGCCTCCTCCGCAGAGCGAGCCCTGCGCAGGCATCCGCTGCCCCGGCCGCGCCCCGGCCCCACCTGCTTTGAGTGGTTTCTGCTTTTGACAGAAGGCGAACAGAACAGAGCACAACATGAAGAGGACCCATCGACAAATGCCCCAAATCAGTTTAGGGGGTCACAACTGGCCTTTTTTTAAAAGGGTGAAACAGAAACAGCTGAGCGCACCCAACGGAAGGTGTCGCTCCCGTCGTGTGGACCTTTCATCTGTCACGTGTAGATGCGGGCGTTACTCCGGCTAAGTGCAGACACAAGTGAACCACGCCTCGCCTTTCTTCGAGGACGGTCACAGCCGATGTTTAAAAAGCCACTGCTGCCTTTCAGGGAGCAAAAATGCCTCCCCCCTCCATGGCACCAGTCACCCCGATCTTCGTGACTTTTGTGTTCGCCCTTCCCTTTATCTTTCCTCGGGTTTTACCCCGTAGAGGTACCTTTAGACACCCTATCGATCAGCCGTGCCTACTTTCGTCACGTTACACAAACGGAAACACTGTACACGTTCTTGGTTCTCGGTGGCCGGCTTTGTTCACTCCACATTTGGGAGAGTTCGGCTGCGTTGATGCGCAGCTGAAACCTGTTCCCTTTAACCGCCCTAGAACCTTCCACTCTAGCTGGGGAGGAACCACAGCTGATCAGTCTGCCGAAGGCACTGGCTTGGCTTTTTGTGGTGCTGCTCTTTCTCCTCCTGCCCGGGCGCACTTGTACCCGTGAGGACCTCGGGTCGGGGCTCCCCCCCCTCCGCCGAGTGACTCCAGGGTGGTCTCCGCACAGTCTTGCCTTATGTATGCTGCGAGCACGCAAGTCCGGCTCCAGCAACTGCCCCCCTCACCTCACTAATGCTTCCTGCTCACTTTTCCACGCGTGCCAACCTGGTGGGCGTGCAAGGTCACCTGCCTGTTGTTTTTGTTTTTTTTAAGATTATTTATTTATTTGACAGAGAGGGAAGACAAGCAGGGGGGAGTGAGAGAGGGAGAAAGCAGGCTTCCTGCTGAGCAGAGAGCTCGACGCGGGGCTCCATCCCAGGACCCTGGGATCACGACCTGAGCCGAAGGCAGACGCCTAACGACTGAGCCACCCAGGCGCCCCATCCTGGCTGTTTTGATTTGCATCTCGTTGTTCCTTAATGAGGCTGTGCCTCTTGTCATTTGCTTATGGGTCTTCCGTGATTCCTCCCCTGTTGTGTGCCTGTCCCAGTCTCTCTCTGCCTTCCTTTGGGTGTTTATCTTTCTCTTCTTGCTTTGAGAGTTTCTTACCCCGCTGTGAATACTGTTTTACTTAGCTTACAAAAGAGAAGAATTTACCTCCCAATTTGCGGCTTTTCTTTTCACTCTCCTTAAAGTAGCTTTGGGTGAGCAGAGACGTTCTTAAATTGAACGGGGTGCAACCTATCAGTATTTTCCCTTCTAATTTGTGCTTTTCCTGACATTCAGGAAAGCCTTCCCGACACCTCAACCGTCTTCCTCTTTAGCAAATCTACCAGATTTACAGTTTGCCTTGCGTGGTCACGTATTTGCTCCATTAGCAATTGATTTCTGCATATGGCATAAAATACAGATTCGATCTCATGCTTTCCTACCCGAACAAGTCACACTGGCGCCTCCACCAGAAGCCACGGCTTCACAGATTCATTCCTGGGCTCTCCGTTCTGATGCGCTGACCCCTTTGTTTCCATCCTGTGCTTTCTGGATTATCCTCACAGATATTAGAACTAAGAAGAACTACCTGGTACCTGATTTTTCCAGCCCCTTGCTCTTCCATCATCATTTTAAAATCATCTTGCCAAGTTAAAAAAAAAAAAAAATTTTAAAACTTTGCTGGGGGGCGCCTGGGTGGCTCGGTCGGTTAAGCATCTGCCTTTGGCTCAGGTCATGATCTCAGGGTCCTGGGACGGAGCTCCGCCATCAGGGTCCATGCGCGGTGGGGAGCCTGCTTCTCCCTCTCCCTCTGCCTGCCGCTCCCCCTGCTCGTGCTGTCAGGTAAATAAGTAAAATCCTTAAAACTAATAATAATAAAAAAAACTTGGTTGGTATTTTGATCAGAATTGCACCAAATCTCAGATCAATTTGAAGTCACACCACTTTAACAGCGAGTCTTCCAAAAAACCAAAATCACAGGACATCTCTCCATTCACTTAAGTCCTTCTTTAAGTGAGTGATTTCAAGTGAAAGATTTCAGTGAAAATTTAAGTGCAAGAAAAAGAAATGAGAGGAAATTTAAGTGAAGATTTAAGCGAAAGGCTTCAGTGAAAATCTTTTTAATTTTATCCTTTATTTCCATAAGAGATTCATTCATACAACTGTAAAATCTATTTCTAGGGACTGACGTATATGTGTGTGTGTGTGTGTATGTTTTAAGATTTTGTTTCTTTGACAGAGAGAGAAAGCACAAGCAGGGGGAGCAGCAGAGGGAGAAGCGGACTCCCCGCTGAGCAGGGAGCCCGATGCGGGGCTCGATCCCAGGACCCTGGGATCATGACCTGAGCCGAAGGCAGACGCTTAACCAAATGAGCCACCCAGCGCCCCGGGACTGGTATATTTCTAAAATTTCATTGTTTTTCGTTTATTGTATGCAGAAAACATTTAATTTTACGCACCGATTCTGGCAGCCCACAATCTTATTAAACTCTCAAGTCTAATAATTAAAATTCACGCGAATTATTTATTCTTAGAATTCTAATACCTCTTAATTATAAGAGAGTTACTCAAGAAGTTTTTGGATAGTCTATGTACGTGATCATAACACTTGCAAATGATGACGGCCTAATTTGTCCCAGTCCTTATACTTTTTCTTTCCTTTTCCTGTCTCACTGTGCTGCGCGGGACCACCAGTCCCAACGTAAAGAACGAGTGTGCATAGTCAGTGTCTCTGTCTCGCTCTTCAGGATCCGTTTTCAACATTTTACATTAAAACATTAGCATTTACCACTTTCAGGCTTTCTTTCTTCCTTCGAGAAGCCCTTTATCAGGTCATGGAAGCTCCTCATCACTCCAAGTTTGCTAAGACTTTTGCAATGAATGGCTGGAACCGGTTTCTGTCTCTATTAAGACGACAGCATGATTTTTCTCTTTTGGTCTGTAATATGATACATGAATAGGTCTTCTAAGGGCCTGCTCCCTGCGAACCAAGTTCCTCGTGATGTGCCATATCATTTGTATAATTGGATTTGCAATTGTTTCTTTGCTTTTTGTGTCTGTACTTGTAAGTGGGGGTGGCCTGGCAGGTCTGTTCTCACACTGTACATCCTGTCTGGTTTTGGTGTTAAGGTTGTGCCAGTCTCCTAAAACCAGGAGGGACACTCCCCATTTTCCTACCCTCTGAAGGAGTCTGTATAAAGGTGGAATTGTTTTCTTGAGCGGTGTTAGAATTTGCCGGCAAAGCCCTCTAGGTGGATTGTGGGGTGGGGAGGATTTTTAAGTCCTGACTCAATGCCTTTAATGATTATAGCACTATCCCTATTTTGGGGTTTTCTATTGTTCTCTGGTTGGCTCTGCTAAGTTTTCTTTCTGAATTTATCTACTTTAAGTTTTCAGGTTTGTAAGCACAGAGTTGATCAAACAGCCTCTTACTCCACCAGAAATCTTGGCAGTTATGTTACTGTGTTTCATTTCTCACAGTGTCTGTGCCTTTCCTGTTTATTTTTTATTTTATTCTATTTTAAGCAGGCTCCGTGCCCGACGTGGGGCTTTAACTCACTACCCTTAGATGGAGACCTGAGCTGAGATCAAGGGTCGGATGCTTAACCAACTGAGCCACCCAGCTCCCCGCCTTATTTTTTAAAATTAATCTTGCCGGGGAATTTGTCTATTTATTACTCTTTTTAATTACCAACATCTGTCTTTGTGGATATTACCACGCGTCTGTGTTCTAATGCATGAATTTTTGTTCCTATCCGTATTTCATTTCTTCCACTTTATTTGGGTGGCAATGCTACGAAGCTGTCACTTCCCCTCACACTGCTGTTTCAGGTGCCCCAAGAATTCTGAAGTAAGACTATTTACCTTATTATTTTTGGTTCTCAACGTTTCTGGTTCGCCTTATAATTTCTTCTTTGACTCAAGATTTCAGGAGTGTTTTCCAAGTGTCAAGTGTACGGAGTTTTTCTAGTTTTCTTTTTGTTGTTGAGGATACTGTGGTCAGAAAATGTGTTCTGGGTGCTCCCAATTTCCAGAAACACGTTGAGGCTGCTAGACTTTATTGTGTCCAGCACACGATCAAGTTTTTGTCAGTATTTGGAACATGTGTGCTCGGGTCACTGAGAACAACAAATCCACGACCTCATGAACCGTGCTGCTCAAATGTTGTTACATTCTCACTACTGTTGGTTAAATAAGAAATATAAATATTGGTCTCCACACCCCCGTTCCTGGCACAGAATTCCCGAAACCCCTGTCATTTCTTAAGTGACCAGGCACTAGAGCATCTCCTGCTTACTGAGGTGACCCTGCGTGGGTTCCTGGCCGGCTCCTGGCTGGAGCCAGAATACCCAGAACCCCCAAGCCTCGATTAGAACCTGGGATCGTTCTGTTACCTGGAAATGTTGCGTTTTACCTTCCTTCTTAAGGAATACCTTCAATGAATATAGAATTCTGGAGGATCCAGGTTGCTTTGTTGGTGTTTCAAGATGT